GATATGACCTTAAAATGAATCCCTTAAAGTGCGCCTTTGGCGTTACCTCCAGGAAATTTTTAGGATTCGTTGTCCGTCATCGGGGAATTGAGATCAACCCAGATAAGATTAAGGCTATCTTGGAAATGCCTCCCCCTAAAAACTTGAAATAGCTACATTCCTTTCAGGGGAAGTTGGCATATCTGAGATGCTTTATTTCTAATCTCTCAGGTAGGTGTCAGCCTTTCTCGACATTAATTAAAAAGGACACCAAATTTACTTGGGAAGAGAAATGCCAGCAGGCCTTTGAGGACACCTCCTGTTTTGGCAGCCTCTATCCTGTTTCGGATGACTCTATCTAAGGAAAACCGTTGATACTTTATACCGCGACTTTAGATGACACTCTCGGAGCCCTATTAGCCCAAGTCAATGATGAGGGTAAAGAAAATGCATTATACTACTTGAGTCGTCGTCTAATACTGACGGAGATAAGGTATCCACCTATTGAGAAGTATTGTCTGGAGTTAATTTTCGCCGCCCAAAAGCTTAGACATTACATGCTTTCTCATAAGATTACCCTAATCTCAAAAGTTAATCCATTGTAATATCTGATGACCTGACCAATGCTCTCCGGATGTTTGGCAAGATGGTCAATGATCTTATTGCAATTTGATATAACTTTTATTCCCCTTCGTGCTATCAAGGGACACTAGCAGACTTTCTCGCTGTACACCCACTGCCAGCTGGGTCCTCTCTCAACGAAGAGTTACCAGATGAGCAAATACTACAAATGGAATTATCCAGTGTGCAGTGTTAGGAAATGTACTTTGATGGCGCTTCATCAGCCAGGAAAAATAAAAAATGAGGCACAGTTATACCGAGCAAAGCAGAGATTGGTTTGATCTTTATCACGCCAGATAAGGGTATATTGAGGTTCTCATACCACCTAACAGAGCCGTGCACCAACAACGAAGCAGAATATGAAGCTTTAATCACCAGATTGGAAATGATAATCTCAATGGATATAACAAGCATTGCCATCTATGGCGACTCCCAACTTATCATCTAGCAAGTCGCCGGACAATACAAAATTTTGAAACCAAGACTAGCAGAATATCACCGATACACAATGAAGCTCCTGGAGCAGATTCCTGAGGTGACTTTCTATTGGATTCCTTGGGGAGATAATTCCCATGCTGACGCTCTAGAAAAACTCGGTAAAGAAATGACATGTCCACTGAAGGATTCCATTGAAATCACAGTACAAGGAAGATGAGTCGTGTCTCAAAATGACTTCGAAACTCTACACAAGCTTGGAAAAGAAGAAACAATAAATACAATTGCAGACATCAACAAAGATTAGTGCAAGCCATTAATAGAATATTTGCATGCTGGAAAGCTGCCAGAAAATAAGTCTGAGGCAAACCACATCACAAGAAGGGCCATGTCTTATGCCCTGATGAGAAATGTTCTCTACAGAAGATCGTTCGACCAAAATGTGGCACAGTGTTTGAACAGAGCCAAAACATAGAATATTATCAAAGAAGTACATACCGGAGTGTGTGGTGCTCACCAGTCAGGGCCAAAAATGAAAAAGAAGATCAAAAGACTCGGGTATTATTGGCCAGCAATGATGTTTGATTGCATGAATACAGTTAGAAAGTGTCACTAATGCCAAGTGCATGGGGTGGTCTTACACCAGCCTCCGAATTTCCTACACCCAATTGTTGCCTCGTGGCCATTCGAGTGTTGGGGCACAGACATAATAGGTCTGATAGACCCTCCATCTTCCAAAGGACACAGGTTTATACTTACCGCTATAGATTGTTTCCCCAAATAGGCAGAGACAGTACTGTTACGTGAGGTTACAACACAACACGTCCTTCAATTTTTCAAAAGCCAAATTGTCTGTCATTTTGGAGTACCACGAAGAATAATTTCCGATAATAGAATAGCTTTCAGAAGCACCAAGACAAATAATTTCATCAAAAGACATGGGATAGATTGGAGATACTTTATGATTTACTATCCCAGAGCAGATGGTCTGGATGAAAACAAAAGAGATTGGCATAACAAACTATTAGAAGCCTTGTGGACGTTCCGTATGACCTTCCGGACTACCACTCAGTGTACACCCTATATGCTCGTGTACGGATCCCAACGTACACCCTATATGCTCGTGTATGGGGTTGAGGTCGTGCTACCACTAGAAATGTAGACACCATCTCTCAGAGTCACCGTTGCCAACCA